TGGGAATTCACATATGGTTCTACAGATTTGATCAGTTATCGAGAATTATCTGACTGTTAACAATTTTCTCACAGCCTCAACTAATCCCAGTCCCTGCATTTCATGTGCCATAATCCGGCTTTTGGCTATGCCGGCCCACTTGGTTTGTGCTTGGGCGTCGAGACCACTATCGAAGCGAGTGGGCGTCAAGTTACAGTGGTGGTTCTTTGTGTGAGCTTGTGTTTGTGTACTGTACTCCTACGCACGTAACGTTTCTCTCCCGATCTCGTGCATTGGTTCTTCGAGGGTTTCAAGGGTCCTTGATTTGATTGATGTAAATCATGTGCTGTGCGGTCTCACTGTTTAACTCGATATCATCACAAGTCGTCATCAGCTGGACAGTGTAGAGCTCCAGGGCTCTTCCCTCATGCAATTGTACCGCTCAGCCCCCTGTAATTGTCGCTAAGACAGAGTCACAAGCCACTGAGAGTAGAGGGATCCACTTGGATAGTTCGGCCCTGGAATGTCTCGACAAGCGGGGTCTTGGATCAGTCTGTCAACGTCATCGGCCTCTTCTCACCCTCCATCATCCATCCTCTCCATCTTGGTCCATCCAATCCCAGTTGAATGCGCCGACCACTAATCCTTGGTCTTCTTCCCTCCCTCTCGACTCATCAAGTATCCCGCCCACCCTCCACCCTCCAATACATGATCTCTTCTTTCTCTTTCTCTCCTCCATCCTTCTCCCATCATCGTTTTTGCACCTTTAACTTGCACTTGATACCCTTTCGCTAAAAGGCGATCAGCTATACCACTAACACCGGAGGACTAGCCTCTATACGTTCCGGTCTGCTTAAGCAGCCACACCACACACAGTTATAATGGCCGAACGCTGGGACCGCGATCGCTTTGAGCGAATGCGCGGCGAACAAAACAGAGATCGCTTCGATGATGATCGCTCTTATACACGCAGCACACGAGGCCGCGACCACTCAGATGAGCGATATGACCGTCGACCCGGTCGCGGTTACTACGAAGAAGAAGACATCCGTGACCGTCGCTACTACGGCGATGATCGCTATCAGCCTCAGCGAGAAAGAGAGCGAGATATGCCACCTCCCTGGGCTCGCCGCACAGATGTTTTAGAGAGAGAACGAGAGCGAGACTTTCCTCGCCGCGAATCTCCACCTCGTCGACCAGGTTTCCTCCGTCGACAATCATCGCTTGACACCTTTGACCGCCGACCACGTATCTTCCAGGATCGCGAGGAGTACCCCCCTCCTGCTCGCCGTGAGGATATCCGTCCTCGAGATCACCGAGATCCTCGAGATGACTACCGTGCTCCTCCTTACACACCTATTCCTCTTCCCAAGAGCCGAGGACTGCCTCCACCTCGCAGATACGGCGATGAGTACTATGACGACATCAAGATTGCTGAGCCCGACTATTATGGCGACGATGATTACCGATCCATGCCTGAGCGTGTTCGTGAGCGAGAATACACTCGATCTCGCAACCGTCGCGGACGCAGCCGAGAATCTCGATCAACTCGAACTCGGTCTGTTCGAAGCAGCTCGTATTCTTCGTCTTCAAGCCGCTCCTCCAGCAGCAGCGGTGGCACTACAGTGAAGAGCGAGTATCCCAAGAAGGGCAAGACTCGCATTCCTGCCAAGCTTGTTTCCAAGCGAGCTCTCATTGATCTCGGATACCCATTCTTTGAAGAGGTTTGTAGCCAATCTGAGAACGTGAATCATAGCCTCTAACAATATTCAGGGCACCACAATCATTGTTCAAAAGGCTCTTGGTCAAGACAACATCGACGAGCTTCTCAAAGTCAGCGAGGATTACAAGAAGGGTAAGTTAGCAGTCTGCAAGATTGATACGCTACTAACACTTTGCAGTTGAAGCTGAAATTGCCGCCTCTCGAGAACCAAAGGCACCTACTGCTGCTTTGCCTGCACCTCCGCCCAAGGAGAAGGTCAGAGAGCCAACCCCGGAACCGCCGCCAGCCAAGACTCCCCCGCCTCCCCCAGTTCAAGCTCCTCCAGCCCAGGCACCACCTGCTGCTATGCCAGTCGCAACTCCAGCTCCTCCTCCACCTGTTCAGATGATGCCTCCTCCTCAACAAACTCCAATGCCACCGCCACCCGTCCAGATGATGCCTCCTCCTATGGCTCAGCCTGGACCACCTCCTGGTTTCTACCAGCCTGGCCCTCCCCCTCCTCCGCAACCAGTACCCTTCGAATACGCTGAGGAGACTGTCATCCGAGACGTTTCGCCATCTCGATTCACCACAACCACCACTTCCTCCAGCTGGGACTCTTACCACCATCACCATCATCCCGCTGAGGAGCTCGTTGTACGGTCTCGTTCTCGGTCCCGAAGTGGTCGTGAGATTCGAAAGGAGATCAAGGCTCTGGAACGTGAGCTGGCTCACCGACCTCGAGGCCGTTCCACCAGCGGCGAAATTGTCCGCGCCGAGCGCTTGCCCGACGGACAGCTTGTTATCCGAGAAGAGAGATTGGAGAAGGTGGTTGAACACCGCAAACCTCCTCGTATTGAGAAGGACAAGAAAGGTAGGATGTCCATTAGCGTACCTAAGTACCGTTAAAGGTGCGCCTTTTATGTTATTCGCGTCTTTTGAGAACGTGTGGCTGACTCGGCTGCACAGGACCTCCTCCTAAGCTCATGCGGGCCATGTTTGCTACTCTGACTTGAACGACATGTCATCGATTACCAAGGCGGATGAATTGAACGAAAACGATACGGCCTTGATGGCTTATGAGGGCAACCAAATTTTCACAGGATATATCGCAAGACTGGGATAAATATGAAATGAGGTGTATATTCTGGGATATTATGTTTCGAGGATCTAGACAAGTTTGGGATTGGAGTATTTACTGGAAAACCTACAACATTAACGAATTATGACATTTATTTTAATTCTATTCTCAATTCGGGTGATTTTGTTAGAATGTTCTCCACCGTATAATTTTGTGTCTGAATGATGCACAGACTCTCCTTCGTCTCGGTCACAAGACCCAAGTCTCGTGAGCATCGGAGGCAGTAAACGGATTTAGCACGGCAACTGGATAAGGTGATCTAGATTAGCACAAGGGCTATGCATGATCTGCAGAGCCAGCAAGGAAGGGTTGAGCCGCAGTTTAAAATGCCAAGTACAAGATCTACCATAGAAGGTCTCGAAAGTTTGAGAGGCATCGCATTAATTTTGACTCATTAAACTAAGGTAGAATTCAATAGCGAAAGACAGTTTCCATTGTATCCCAACACCAACCAGGTCCTCACCACCGTGCATCAGGGTATCGTGTATATCCATCGCCAAGCAAACCTCCCAAGGCCGTTTCCATCATCAAAGCATTTACTGAGTCTTCTTGTTCGCAACAGCTCGTCCCTGGGCAGTGTACCTCACGTAGGCGAAAGCACCGAGGGCGCCGATAGCGAGGATAGCAGCGTTGCCTATATCATGGTCAGCACGCGGAAAATGATAGGAACATGGAGGAGAAAACTCACTGGCTACGAACTTGCCGACGCCACCGGTGACCTCGACAAGGCCGGAGACGACATCGCCGATGAGGTTGAAGAAACCCTGGACGAAGCCGAGGATAGCGGTGAGAATGGAGTGGATGACGGAGTAGACGGTGTTGAAGATTGAGGCGAGAAGCTCGTAGATGGAGCTGAGGAGGTCGCTGATAGCACTTGTGATGGCCATTTTGTCTGTTGTTGTTATTGTGTAGGTACCGAGGAAGTGAGTGTTGTGTTTCGTTGAGAAAAGGCTTTGTAAGGAGGAGAGCTCTTGGCTGCCTTTTTAATACCTTATCTTGTTAACTTTCTTGTTCCTGGATTTAAGAACAAGTCGTGACGTCGTCATGCTCTCGATTTCGCGATGTGCATGTGACGTCACCCAACCACGCGACGAGCTTGAGAGAGGGTTTGTGAAACATTGCGTCTTGATGAGGTAAGAAGTGTTTTGCATTCGGTCAGCCTTGTGGAAAACAGGGTAATGTGAGCTAATAGCCGTTGAGGACATGTCACTCTTAATTGATCTGATGCTTGGCCGTTTCTAAGTGGAAGCTAGGTTCTTCGGGAATGGGGAAGACGTCAGAGAATGCTTATTTTGGGAGATCGTCGATCTGAGGTGGGCTTGGGGGTTGTAGGTTTGAATGGGATGGTTAGGTTTGGGGTATAGGTTCAGAGTGGCTAGATTGATGGACTTAATTGTCTTGTACAAGCAGTAAGGTTGATCGTCGTTTAGTACTTCGTACAGGAGTTCATCTGCTATGGTGCTCCGTGATCAATTAAACTTAAACCTCCGATGGTTGATGCCGCATTTGTGGGACCTTTCCGAACCCGTGTGGATTCAACGCCGGAGACGCAAATGGGACGAGAGGCGGCCTCGGTGCCGACAGTGCATTCACTATTACTCCTCTCGGGAGGAACAAAAGAGCTCAATATGAAACCCATCACGCGATATTGACTGATAACGACTATGTAACTACAACGAGGCCCTTGCTGACTAACATCACCTCATCTCGCTCCTCACAGACCAGTGTTTGAGATTCCTCCCAAGCTCCAGACCAAGTCTCATCTTGTCTTATAGATACACCAAGCTTCCCGGCGATTACCACAATCAACATCTAACTGCCGATTTACCGGGCCCATGTGGGTACTCATCCCATTCCATCTGGTTAGCAGATTCATAAGGTTTTGTCGATGTAACCAAAATGATCCTGCAGGATCTGAAATGCCACTTTCATTTTAGATATATACCCACGAAGTGACTCAAATTCTGCCGGCGAGTTGATACATCAAGGGTTTGACGTGACAGCTGCCGGCATGGCTTGGCTGTGCGCTCGGTACCGAGCCTGAGCCCGAAGCCTTGTAATTGACAATTGCCTTCTTTTAATAGTTGGCCTTCCCACATAGCTTCAAGGGACTGGCTTGAACCCGCGCCGTGCGGCTCTTCTATCAGAATATCTGGAAACGTTTTTCGGTCTGGAAGGATGTCGGAGACACGGTATCACGAAGGCCTCGAGGTTTACTCGGACAGCGCAGCTCACGCACCAGAGGTCAGCCCTCATGGTGTTTATAGCCAAGGCTCGAAGGATCCAATGTCGGGTTATGTTCAGGTCGTCAAGGCGCGGAAGAGTCCTTTTGGTTTAAGTATGTTGGGCCTATGCACACTTGTTGCTATCGTCACAGCCGTGGTCGTTGGAGCAGGTGTTGGTGGAGGTCTTGGATCAGCTCTGGTCAGCTGCAAAACGTACGAGATCCAGACTTCCATACTAACAAATGCACAAATGTTAACAATCACAGTTCACAAGTGTCTGAGGTCCCAGGAGCATCCGCGATACAAACCCCCGCCTGTCCAACCCTCACAACCAGCGCAAGCGACACCATAGAAACCACCGAGTCAAAGTTCTACGAGCCCAAACCAGCAGATCAAGTAACAAACCTCACACTCCCCGACGCATGCTCCCAACCAAACGGTAAAGACGACTACACCACCAACGACGGCTACGTATTCACATTTACCTGCGGGTTCGACTACCCCGGGAACGATATAGTGCCTATACTGGCTTACACGGCATTCGACTGTATGCATGCATGCGCAATGTACACGGAGATCAACGGCGGGAACGAAAATGCGACGCAGTGTGATAGTATCGTGTTTAATAGGGAGATGGCGAAGAATTATGAGGTCAAGGGGGGGAATTGTTGGTTAAAGACTGGGACGAGGGATCTTTTTCCGGCGGCGGATTTGATGCCGACGTTTTTGTATGCGAAGAGGAATTCGTGAGGCTGATGTGATGGGAAGTGCGATGATAGATGACTAATTGAACATGTTAATTGAGTGCTCGTCTTTTTGTTCTCTTTTGGATGTTGTCTTTGTGATTGAGGCTGCGGGTTGGACTCGTGAGAGTGTCAGCGTGGCTGAGTTGGAGAGGAAGGGCTGGATTGTCTTGGCAGTGAGGCCATCGCAGCGATGAGGTTGGGCTGAAATACACCCGGGAAAAGAACAAGGACAGGAGGCTCTAGTCTCTCCTGATTCATAATTATGGGAATTTACGGCCAGAAGATATCCGGAGCAAATGCGATCGCTATCAATCGACGTCCGAGTCGTTAGCTTGTTGTTTCAACAAGTTCATCCTCAAACAATACGAGCATCTATAATCAATCACAGTGCTGACACATTCGGATAAAGTGCTTAGAAAAGACAACAGCTGCTCAGCCCCAGAAGCATCGCTCGTTTACATTTCTCCAGACCACGTGCCAAGAGAAACTACTGTAAGGCATTTCGCACGGTCATTGCCCATTTGAGACGGCACTGAGATGCCGATTCACGATTCAATCCGCTATTGCGGCTGGGCCAGTGACCGAGTCGTACGTAACACTCCTGCGCCAGCATCACATCGCATCGTATCCTCTGGGCGGTTACGAATATTGTGGACCACCCGAAACTACTGTGAAAGTTCTATAATTGGTGTCTTTAGAGTTTAGTTTCTCAACGTCGGCGGTTAACCATCACTGTCCAACAGCACAACAATACAGAACTCACTGTATAATTTAATTAAATATTAAAAGAATTTGCAAATTTACGCCTGACCATAAAGTGAGATACAGCCTGAGAGCCTGGCAAATTACAAAAGATGCAGAGCTCATGTATGCCAAGCCAATAGCGAAGCCTCTAAAACGCCCGGAGAGGCAGTGCCGGGACCCCTGCAGCGCGGGTGCTCGCCCATTGGCCTTGTGTGCTTCGATGCAGGGTGCTGATCCAATTGCTTCAGCCCTGAAAACTCTCGAAGGTGATGAGGAAGCTAAAGAGGTGATGCAGCTAAATATGAGGGGGACGGTCGCTCAAGTTTGTGTTTCTGATCTTTATATCTTGGCTCTTTTATTTTTATGTGTGGTGTGGTTTGACACTTATCGACACTGTTGTCTCCGAGTTTTGGCGGGGATATACGAACATTTGTGTAACTTATACACATCCTTGGACTCAACATTCATCAAGACACTTAGCAGTTACAACTTCAACATACAACGATGTATGAGCTTGAGAGATACTGGATCGCCCATGGGGCCATGGTATTTCTTGGAGCATGGATCCCCTCTGTCGTTCTATTCTTCTGCAGTTTCTGCCTCGTCCGCCGCAAGAGGGATCCCGCGAGAACTGCATTCACATATCTCAAGTTGGCACTCTTAGTGTTCTCAGGGTATGCTCCACATCCTCCACTGCTTATTTGATGAACTATAATAACTGACGAATCTTAGCTATACCTTCTTCGAGTTCGCCTCATACGTCGTCTCAGTCGTGCACACGCGATTATACTACAGTGGAAGAATCGACAGTGAATTCGACTCGCACTACTCAAAGACTCTACAAGTTACCGTGCAAGTCCTCGCTACTCTTGCGCTTATTTACGATTTGGTCACCGATATTCTCGTCATGATAATCCTCCTACGTCTCGGCACTGGTATCATCATGGTCCAGACAGGCCAACGCGATCCAAAGGGCAAGATTTTCCGCTTCGGTTCATACATCGCAGCAACTATCCTCTTCGCTCTCGCCTTGGCTGCCTTCGGTCTTCGGATTCGATATGTGTATGAAGTCTTCTTCAACGATGCTAGTGTTGGTGTGGATAGTTACACCAAGTCTCGACAGATCGGCTTTGCGTTTAGTGTTTTGGTCTTTGTCATTTCTCTTGCTATCGTTACGCGAGCTATTATGATCAGGGTGCAATCTAAGGGGGACAATGCTCTTACTTGGTGCTCAAACATGTTCATCGCTGCATCAGTTGTTTGGCTTCTGCGCACAACGTTCAACATGGCGTCGACGGCTGCTTGGACCGATCTGAGCAGTGCATATGGCGACCGTGAGTACAAGTACGCTTACTACATACTCGATGTCGTCTTTGGAATCTGGCCGCAGTTCGTTGTACTGTGCTTGGTGTTCTTTATCGGTCGTGCAAAGAACAATGGTATTTGGTCAAAGCAGGACCAGGAGCCCGTGAAGGGCGTTGAGGCTGGAGAGCGCACGGCCTGGGGTTATGGACAAGTCCCTCCCCAGGCACAGAATGCTGCACCTATGCCTGAGCAGCAGTACTACCCTCAGCCGGAACAGCAGCATCTGGCTCAGGGGTATGGTCCTCAGCAACCCGTGCCCCAGCAGCAAAACGGTTACTATGCACCCCAGCAACCTCAGTACGCGGCTTATGATGCTATATCTCCCGTGTCTCAGCCCAGATCACCACCTCCTCACGAGGAGACGGTGGGCTTGAACCACCAGGCTGATGGTACTCCTCCCCAGGTACCAGCTCAGCCATACCCGGAGAAGCATTAGGGGTGCTGGGACAGATGATGAATCGTTTTATGACAGATAATGGGCGTGAATGAATTTGGACAACTTCTACAGATATGATACCACCCTTCTATACTTTATGATATTTAGTACATCTCAAATCTACCGCATCAACAGAATGTTTAAACTTTGCGATGTCGTCTAGTCCACGTCTGAGAACTCAGCTGGAGCAACGAATGGACCATCTTCACCCATAGTACCAGTAACGTATCTTGTTCAGTCAGTACACAAATTCCACATAAACGAATAATGGCTAGTCTCACTTTGTATGGCTTCCTCGCGCAGCCAATTGTCCCTTGCTATTGGTGAACGTCACCTGCGTAAAAGCAAGTGTCTTGCCAATCTTGTCGAGTGTGGCAGTGCCCTTGAGAACATCTCCCGGGCGGCCTCCGGGGCTCAGATATGTCACTGCCAAGTCAGCAGAGTCGTACATGATGGAGAAAGTTACGTACCGTTCAGATCGGTTGACACGCCTGTTGCGAAGCGGCCTGATGAGGCGACGGCGAGAGAACCACCGAGATCGACGAGACTGGCAAGTGTGCCACCATGAATTGTCTGAAGACGGTTCTGGATGAGGTCAGTGAGAGCTCATTTGATGAGGTGAGAGACGGACGGTGTGTTCTTTTTGGATGTCAAGCTCGAAGTCGACTTTGCCTTCTGTGGCACTGGTGACGCGGAACTACGGCATGTCAATAAACTTCTCAGTCTCATGATTTAGGTGTCTATACATGTTTTCCTAGAAGACTGAAGCGAGAGAAGTCAGTATCGGGATCTTATCACGAATGCCGAGCCTCCATCAGTGGCTTGGGGTACATACCGAGGCTCAAGACCCGAGTCTGCCATGAAAGAGCGCACGACCTAGAACACAACCGCGAGTTAGCTGCCAAGATTTGAAAAAGACACGAGTGGTATGAGCTGCCATTGGTTGCGCAATGCATGCGCCTCAAGGTGTATTGGGTGTACGCACCGCTTGTGTGAATTTCGTGGGATTGAGCTTGACCTTGCCAGACATTGTGGCGGGTGAGATGAAATAGGCCTGACGGTTGTTTCAATGTCTGAGGTATTAGCTCTGAAGATTGACTCAGTAGATATAATCACGTCCGTCGTATTGCATGAGCGATGTTGAGAGAAGCTCGAGATATGGGAACGGAGTTCGAGATGGATTAGCCGAGTTCCGGGGTAATGATTGACCCCCGCCAACGGAACGGCCCCACCATCCAAATTGACGTAACTACCACTGGGAGCGGGTATCACACTTCTAAATGCCCTGTATCTGAATGGAAGAACGGAGGAAGGCTTTGGAGTCAAGGCTTCCTCAAAGCTCGCACCTGAGGTATTTGTCTTTTTCCGCCCGCTCGCGCTTCCTCTGTCTCTAGGATGTTCGACTTCGATCACTGAACTCCCCGCCGATGTCGCTCCCAGGCGCGAGGGTTGAGAGAGGACGCAGACATATGAACCTGATATCATTCCCTGGTGGCCATCTCCATCTAAGCAGAGTATTACGATGCTGAAGTCGCTTCACTCTCTAAACTGCTACCAGACTTCAGTTATCGAAAAGGCCAATCTGGTCTTTTCTCTTTCCTGTATTCGTTGAAGTTCCGGGGATTCTTCAATGAGTATTAGCACGCTGAGCACAAGTTGCGATGAGAGTAAAGGAGTGACAGAGAATAGTGTCCTATTTTCAATTTGGGTATCTGCCAATCTGATCTGTGCTAATTAGGGGGATATTGTTGAGGATCATCAACCTCATATCTCATCTCCAAACCCCATTCTCGCCATGCAAATTCCGAAGCAAATGTCCCTTACGCCATTCTTGTAGATCTCCCGTGGAGCCCATCTTCCCAATTATCCCATACCCAGCACCAATTTTAATCGCCGCAATGTTCGCCCCAAGTCCATCATGGGCTTAAGCCGTGTCTCCCACGTCCTCGTCGTCGAACATGTCAAGATCGAAGTCGTCCTGGTTCTCCTCATCGAACGCAATGGGCGCCGGAATCTCTTCTGGAATGCTGAGATCCAGATCGAGAATGTGCTCAGGGTAGTCTCCTTTCTCGGCCCATGAATCCTCCCAAGCTTCGACTAGTTCTCGGATTTTCGTCTGTAGCTCGGTTTTCTGGACGTTTCTCTCAGAACCGTTCGAGGAGTTCTCCACGAGATTGTTCACCAGGAAAGACAGTTGTTGCTTCACGTTTTTGACGGCCTCTACTGCAATGAGGACCAGTTGGCCGGGCACCTCGGCCTTCTTTTCAGCCAGGCCGTCAGCGAGACGGTTCAGCATCTCGTTGCACATGGGCTGTACATCCTGCTCAACCTTCTCATTGATGATCTCTCTTCGTCTCCGATAGGAACCAATGCCCTCTGAATACGTCAGTCATCACCCATCTCAAAGACAGCAATGGGAAAACATACCAGTCTCAATACACTCTTGAAAAGTGGGCTTCATTTCTTCTTTCAGGTAATCGACTGAATCAAATGCGACATTGGAAGCCTTTTGAGACAGTTCGTCAATGGTGCCTCGAATCCTGTTCGCCGTCGCTCGCTGAGAAGCGCTGAGAATGGGTTTCATATTGTTGAAGCTCACTTCAAGGGATGGCACTTTTGTGCTGATGTCTTTCTGGAGCTGGTCGAGATATTCCTTGAATATCTCGGAGAAAGCGGCCATCATGGGCTTCCGGATCTTGGGCAACTTCTTGTTCATCTTGTTGTCCCAGTCTTTCCCAAGAGTCTTCAGAACTGGCGAAGCGCTATGAGGTATGGTTAGTGGACGTGCTGCTACAACAGGCTGAGAAGGCACATTTACTCACAGGCTGTTCATCCAGTTATAGGTCACCCTAGGGCTTGTGTAGCTCTTATACTCTGCTCCATAACGGCAGATGTTGGCATAGTATGTGCCCCAGTGCATTCGTATGGTGCTCGTGGTATCGTCGGGGAACTTGTATGCCCATCGCTGAACAATCCTTCTCGCCTCGTTCAGAAATCTTTTCATGGCGCGACCTCGATGCTCAAGGGGATCAAGTTCTTGAATCATGACGCAGGCTTCGGCCAGTTTGGCGGACAGTTTCTGTACACATTGTTATGGATTATTCAAGTAGTTTCTCCTTTTTGGGAATAACTTACAGAAGCATAGATCTGATGGGTCTCAGCCAGTGCAGTCTCTACTTCAGACCTGCTGAAGCTGAAGTTTCCATCGCCGCCGCTTGTCTGAGAATAGATTCTCATCATCGCCATGAGGCTCTGGTAGCCATCCAGGGTTTCGTCGAGGTGCTTTTCACGCTTTCTCAAGGTGGCTCGATGCAGCCATTGCTCTGCAGCAGGGATTCCAGTAAATCTGGGGGTGGGAAATCCTTCCAATGGCGCTTCCCTGTTTTGCAGTTGCCAGAAAGCCTTGGTTGATACAGGAAAGATGGGAAGCACATATTCTTGGTGAGAATGAGATGTTTTACCTGGGGCGACATCTTCATACTCAGCCTGTCTAGTGATGAAGTCGTCCCGCATGCGCTTCTTGACTCGTCTGTTACGAGTCTGGCTCGCGCGATGATGAAGCCAGTGCTTCAGGTACGCCAACTCATTCTCAATTTGGCCCAGGCGCAACTGGTGCTGGTCAAGCGCTTTGTCCGCTGCTTCGAACTCTTGGTCCTTTGTGTCCATGGTGCCTCGGAGTTTCTTGACTTCCTCATCGCTCTCGGTCGGGTTCACTGCGATCGGTCATCAGCATGGGCTGTTAGAAAAGTGATAAACTTACCTTCAAGTGTCTGTTTGTGTTTCTTCATAGCTTTCTGGTACAGATTCTTTGCCCTCTTCTTCCAAGCTTCGGCGCGCTTCTTGTTGTCTTTCAATCGTCCATTCTGAGACTTGAGGGTGGACTTTTCTGTCTTGAGTTCATCGATTCTGGCTTCCTTTTCAAGGATTTCCTGATCACCACGAAGCTCTTCGCAGCCAGAAATATACGAGTCAACCTTGAGCTCATCCATCTTGGAAACGATGACGCCGAAACCATTTCCATCAAGCTTGCCACGAATTCTCATTTGCGCTTCATCAAATCCACTCTGCATGAGCGACTGGGCCTGCTTTTCATCAGTCGCTCGAATGATGGGGCTTACTACCATTCGAACATCGAGTTGATTGGAAAACTTTTGCGCAACTTCGGAGCGACTGGTTGTCGCATCGCCGCAACCAGGGAGATCGACAAGCGTAATGCCAGCTTTGAGAATATCTGCTTTGGCGTAGATATGAACCTCCTCAACGAGAGGCCAAACCGCATAAGTGACACTTGATCCCACCTGAACAGTAGTGGAGTCCAGGTAAGGCTTGATCAAAGCTGAGATTTGCTTAGCGGTGGGCCTGCTGACATGCAAGGTGCCCTTTTCGAGCATATTCAGAGCCCGGTTGTTTCTGCTCAGAATACTCTTGACAGTCTCGGAGTATGATCGCCTCTCAGGGCACCTACTAGCCATGTTCTCTAGGTCGCGCTTCTCGATGCCCCAGACAGCTCTGATCTTGGGTAGTTCGTAGCCAATCTTGTTCTTACACTCTGTTTTCTGATCGGCGACACTGAGAGCCTCTTCGCCGTCCTGTCCTTCGGACGTGTTCGCCATAAGAGATGAATAGCGATTGAGCTCTGTAAGCAGTGACTCAATATCACTCTCGATGTCTTCTTTCTTTCGCAGGACAATGTTGGCTCGGAAGGCACATTCGGGATCATCCACGTCATTCCAGGAGATTTTGCCGACGACAGCGGTGGCCGCTGCTTCCTGACCAGATGGAAACAACTCCGGAATACGCAGCAGTGACCCGAGGAACGACGATTTCCCTGCACCGGTAGGCCCTTCAACGCCTACGAGGATCTGAAGGGTTTCGTGTTTCTTGTAGACAATTTCTGGACTTTGGTTAGAAGCTATCAAAAGAGTGGCATGTGGGATTGCTGAGCTTACCATATTCCTTCAGCCACTCCATGATGATGTTCTGACCCATCATGACAGCGTCTTTGGTGTCGGGATCCTTTGATAGTCGGTAGAGAGCCATCTCCAAGACATTTCGGATCTTCTCGCAATCCACTTGAGCCTGCGCGACGGCCTTTTCCTTGATTTTCAGCCGCTCGACAGCGCTGAGCTTCTGGCAGGTTCGCCACGGGAACTCTGGAGGTGTGCGGACGACTGCAGATGACGGCTCCGCCTGGCGCTTGATGTCGCGATTCTCCCCCTCAGGCACTGGGCTTGGGGAGCGCTCACGCTTCACGCTCGTAGGCTCCTCCGCCACCTGGATTGTGTCCATGATGCGAGGAGGGATAGGAAGGTCTTCTTGAATAAAAAATGTCAACAGCCGCTGGTGAATGAGGCTAAACATATGAATAGAAGTTCTTGAGTGGTAGAACGAGGTGTGCGATGTAGAGTGTGGGATGATGATGGAGTGAAGTGGAGGATGAAAGGAGAAGGATGATACAAGATCAGGATGAATGGAGATGGGAAGAGGGTGTTGTTGGTGGGATGAGAAGACGACGGGGAGGATGAAGCAGTGTTGATATGTAGAAATATCAGGAGGAAAACAAGCGATATCATGTAAGAGGAAGGGAGAATGATCTTACCTTGAATGATGATATTCCTTGAACTCTGGATGACTGGCGATGCGGAGTGTTGTTTTGAGAAAGTGTTGGATGAAGGGGAGAATTGCTCACAGTCTGACTTGGGTTGGAGGAGAGAAGTCTCACCGATGAAAATGAGGGAAGTGGTTTAAAATAATGGTCAGAATAGCTCGCGCTGAGGGGGTGAATCATTGTCATTTATTAAAGCTTTCGATAGTGGATCGGGTCCAGGCAGCTGGTCCAACAAACTGAAGTTCAAAATTAACATATGGCGTGGGAAATGGTCTTGCCAGCCTGCATGTAAACATCAGTTCTATTACACTATGCCCTTCCTAACTCAATAGCACCTCAAGTTAAGAACGACTTCTGTACATATTGATTCTTTATGTCTCATAATGTGAGTAGTATTGCTTGACTTCCATATATGTTATAAGCTACGAAGATCAAGTCGCTGCTATAATAAAGCCCCTCTGCTTGATCATTGTAGACCACGACAACAATAACATAGCAAAGCAGGTGAATTCCTCTCCGTATACTATGGCAAGAAAATGAGCATTCACTAAGCCCTTCCGATTTAACCATTGTTCCGTTGACAACAGCTTCACTGGTATTATGTCTTTATTGTTCAAAGTCAAACAAAAAAGGTCCAAACACCAAAAGATGTACATACAACACCAGGTATTCGCTGGTCGTCACCGACCCAACTACTAATCCGGCGCTTCGCGGCTTGACTCTGGGGGAGCGAACGGGACCCCGTATTTTCCGCGAGCTATGGTCG